CAGGCAATTCTTCTGCCTCAGCCTCCTGAGTAGCTGGGATTACAGGCATGCTCCACAATACCTCGCTAATTTTGTATTGTTAGCAGAGACAGGGTTTCACCATGTTGGTCAGGCTGGTCTCGGATTCCCAACCTCAGGTGATCCGCCCGCCTCAGCCTCCCAAAGTGCTGAGATTACAGGCATGAGCCACTGAGCCTGGCCCTCTCCTTTCTATTTTTAAAATCTTTTTTGTGGCTGGGAGCAGTGGCTCACGCCTGTAATCCCAGCACTTTGGAAGGCCGAGGCAGGTGGAACACTTGAGGTCAAGAGTTTGAGAACAGCCTGACCAACACAGTGAAACCCCATCTCTACTAAAAATACAAAAGAATTAGCTGGGCGTGGTGCCGGGTGCCTGTATTCTCAGCTATGAGAGGCTGAGGCAGGAGAATCGTTTAAACTCTGGAGGCGGAGGTTGCAGCAAGGTGATATTGTGCCACTGCACTCCAGCCTGGGCAACAGAGCGAGACTCCATCTCTAAATAAATAAATAAATAAGGAGCTGTATTTCAGAATTTGGAGAAGGTGACACTAAGAGTACAGAATACACAGCTTTTTTTTGTTTGTTTGTTTTTCTGTTTTTTGTTGTTGTTGTTGTTGTTGTTTTGAGACAGAGTCTCGCTCTGTCACCCAGACTGGAGTGCAGTGGTACAATCTCGGCTCACTGCAATCTCCGCCTCCCCGGTTCAAGCAAGTCTCCTGCCTCAACCTCCCGAGTAGCTGGGATCATAGGTGCCCGCCACCACTCCTGGCTAATTTTTGTATTTTTAGTAGAGACGGGGTTTCACCATGTTGGTCAGGCTGATCTCGAACTCTTGACCTCATGATCCCCCCACCTCAGCCTCCCAAAGTGCTGGGATTACAAGTGTGAGCCATTGCACCCGGCCTTAAATTGTATTTTTTATTTTTTTTTGTAGAGACGGGCTCTCGCTGTGTTGCCCAGGCTGGTCTTGAACTCCTGACCTCAAGTAATCTTCCCACCTCGGTTTCCAAAAGGGCTGGGATTACAGGGGTGAGCCACTGCACCCCACCTTCCCTCTACCTCTTGATGGTCTCCTTCTGCTATGAATGTGCATGTCCAGTTGTCTGCTTCTTAGAACAGATATTTACCTTCCTCATTCATCGGCCATTGGAGGACTGGGACCACTCAGATTATTGATCCGGCCCATTCTTCCGGGAGAGTTTCCTGGTGGCTGTCTTCCATCATCATAACCGGAATCAGATGAGTTTCCGTAGCCTTTTTTTCCCCCCACATCTTTGCTGAAGCAGAGTTTTGAAAAACAAAACCACAAACTAAGCTATTCCCCAGAAGAAATCTGTAATCAAAGATAAGGTCTGCCAGGCACAGTGGCGCTCACGCGTTCTGGAGGCCAAGGTGGGTGGATCACCTGAGGTCAGGAGTTCTAGACCTGCCAGGCCAACATGGTAAAACCTCGTCTCTACTAAAAATACAAAAATTAGCTGGTTGTGGTGGCACATACCTATAATCTCAGCTACCTGGGAGGCTGAGGCAAGAGAATTGCTTGAACCTGGGAAGTGGAGGTTGCAGTGAGCCAAGATTGCACCACTGCACTCCAGCCTGGGTGACAGACAGAGCAAGACTGCGTCGCAAAAATATACATAAATAAAATAAAAAGTAAAATAAAAATACAAAAGTTGGTTGGGTGCGGTGACTCACGCCTGCAATCCCAGCACTTTGGGAGGCTGAGGCGGGCAAATCATGAGATCAGAAGTTCAAGACCATCCTGGCTAACACGGTGAAACCCTGTCTCTACTAAACATACAAAAAATTAGCTGTGCGTGGTGACACGCGCCTGTAGTCCCAGCTACTTGGGAGGCTAAGGCAGGAGAATCACTTGAACCTGGGAGGTGGAGATTGCAGTGAGCCGAGATCGTGCCACTGCACTCCAGCCTGGGTCACAGAGCAAGACTCCATAAAAAAAAAAAAAAAAAAAAAAAAATTAGCATGGTGGTGGGCACCTGTAATCCCAGCTACTTGGGAGGCTGAGGCAGAATTTCTCGAACCTGGGAGGTTGCAGTGAGCCGAGCCAAGATCACACCTCTGCACTCCAGCCTGGGCAACAGAGCAAGACTTTGTCTAAAAAAAAAAAAAAAAGAAAAGAAAAGAAAAAGAAAAAAAAAAATCTAAATAGGCCGGGAGCAGTGACTCATGCCTGGAATCCCAGCCCAGCCCTTTGGGAGGCCAAGGTGGGTGGATCGCTTGAGGTGAGGAGTTCGAGACCAGGCTGGCCAACATGGTGTAACCCTGTCTCTACTAAAAACACAAAAATTAGCTGGGCCTGGTGGCACACGCCTGTAATCCCAGCTACTTGGGAGGCTGAGGCAGGAGAATCACTTAAACCTGGGAGGCAGGGGTTGTGGCAAGCCAAGATCGTGTCACTGCACTCTAGCCAGGGTGACAGAGCGAGACTCTGTCTCAAAAAAATAAAAAAGAAATTCAGCAAGTGAAGAGTTCAGCAATTCAAATATTAAGGTGAGTGTAAAGGAACGCCCAGGATGTGGCCCAGGATGGAGTAGGGGGATATTATTTTAGCAGAAAGCTCAGGCCACAAGACAGGAGGAGCCAGCCTTGTTGGGGATGAAGGGAAGAGCATTACAGGCTGAGGGAAATGCAAGGCGGTTGCACGGGACACCATGGGATGGCTTCTGCCCTCGGTAGGCAGCCTCTGGTCTGAGGCCATTCTTTGGCCTGCCTGAGACTGCCTGGCACCCGGGAGGAAGCCCTGCCCTTCCTGGAGATAGAAGCAAAGGTCTGGGGAATCTCTGCTTCCGTTTTCCCTGAGAAAAAGCTTAAAGGAGCAGAGGGCTGGTAGGTGCCTCCTCGCTCTGCCAGCCTGCCCCCCACCATGGCCATCCCACTCCCATCCCAAAAAGGCTCGGACCCTGATCAAGGAGTTATCCCCCTTGTCCCAGCACCTCCAGTTGGCCCAGTCTCCAAAACGGATGTCAAATTCAGCCCTTTCTCCAAGCACACTGCCCAGTCCAGGCCCCATTATTCATCTGGACTACAACAGTCACCACCTCTCCCATTTCCTAGCTGCAGCTCTTGAAGCCTCAACTGGGCCCCTGTGAACACTTGAGTCAGGGCAAGGTCCTTCCTCCGCTCACAACCCTCCATAGCTCCCACCTCACTGGGCATAAAGACCAAAGTCCTGGCCGGGCATGGTGGCTCAAGTCTGTTATCCCAGCACTTTGGGAGGCCAAGGTGGGCGGATCACCAGAGGTCAGGAGCTAGAGACCAACCTGGCGAAACCCCATCTCTACTAAAAATACAAAAATTAGGCATGGTGACGCACCCCTGTAGCCCCAGCTGAGGAGGGAGAATCACTTGAACCTGGGAGGCAGAGGTTGCAGTGAGCCGAGATCACGCCACTGCACTCCAGCCCGGGTGACAGAATGAGACTGGGGTTCAGAAACAGACAAAACAACAAAGTCCTCCCCAGGTGACAGGCACTTTCACTTATCTGCCCTGTCATCTCCCTGCCCGCTCCTCTCCTCCAGTCTCTTCCTTTGCTAAGCCTGCTCCAGCCATGCTTGTCTCCTGGATGTTCCTTTTTTTTTTTTTTTTTTTTTTTTTTGAGGCAGAGTCTCACTCTGTCACCCAGGCTGGAGTGCAGTGCATGGATCTTGGCTCACTGCAACCTCCGCCTGCCGGGTTCAAGAGATTCTCCTGCCTTAGCCTCCCAAGTAGGTGGAATTACAGGGGTGCACCACCACACTCGGCTAATTTTTGTATTTTGTGTAAAGACGGGGTCTCCCTATGTTGCCCAGGCTGGTCTTGAACTCCTGGGCTCAAGGGATCCTCCCATCTCGGCCTCCCAAAAGGCTGGGATTACAGGCGGGAGCCACCGCGCCCAGCTGGATTTTTGTCTGACTCTGTTCATTCTTGCGTCCCCAGTACCTGAAAGGATGCCAAGCACACAGTAGGCGCTTAATAAACATTGAGCCACATGTTGAGAAAAGAACGGCGCCATTGTGGCTGCAAGTGGGACTTGGACCGCGCGGGGGAGCTCGCCGCCCGCGCACCTCGGGCCGGGATGCGAGGCCGTAGAACCCGCCCCAGGAAGAACTCGTGGCGCAGGATTTTCCCAGGCCGTCTGAGGACCAGGGACGTCCCCGGTCCCACTCTGTGATTTTGCTCAGGCCGTTCCGGGGCGGGAATTCAGTACCCCTCAGCCCTCCAAGAAAAAATATCCCCGTGGAAATTCCTTGGGAATGACCGAGGCGGGGAAAATATGCGTCTCTGGATGGCCAGTGACTCGCAGCCACCTTCCCCGATAGGAAGGGCCTGCGCCTCCCGGGCCCCTTCGCTTCCCTTTCTGCTGCGCGACCTCCCTGGCCCCTCTGAGATCTCCACGGCGACGCCGCGCGCGCCCCACAACAGGAAAGCCTTAGGCGGCGCGGCTCGGCGCTTGAAGACTTCAGAGTCCCCAGCCTCGACGTGGTGGATGTCGAGTCTTGGGGTCACACGCACAGGCGGTGGCCAAGCAAACACCCACTCATATTTAATGCACGCGCCTGGGTTGCGGGAGCCTCGCGCGGAGGGCAGGGGTTCGAGCACCCCCTCTCCCTGCCTCACCTCGGAGCCTGGGGGCTGCCTTGTTTCCTAGCTGCAGGAAGGGGTTCGAGCGCCCCTTCTCCCTGCCTCGCCTCGGCGCCTGGGGGCTGCTGCCTCAGTTTCCCAGCGACAGGCAGGGGTTTCGAGCGCCCCCCTCTCCTCCCTCGTCAAGATCCAAGCTAGCCGCCTCAGTTTCCCCGCGGAGCCTGGGACGCCAGCGGAAGGACTTGGCGCGTGGGGATCACGCAGCTTCCTTCCTTTTTCTGGGAACTGTAAAGACGCTCCCGCGGCCAAGGCCGAAAGGGGAAGCGAGGAGGCCGCGGGGGTGTGAGTGCCCACGGGTGTAGAGAGAGGACACCGATTTCCCCGGACGTGGTGAGACCGCGCATCGTCACTCCCACGGTTCGCGTTAGCCGGGAGGTGCCTGGCTCTGCTCTGGCCGCTTCTTGAGAAATGCCCGTGTCAGCTGGGTGGGGACGTGACCCTAGCGGGAGGGGTACCCCTCAGTGGAGGGAGCCCGGGGAAGATTCCTGGTCCCCCACCCAGGCAAGGGGCTCATCCACTCGATTAAAGAGGCCTGCGTAAACTGGAGAGAGAGGACTTGAGTTCGGATCCCTTCGCAGCCTGGAGTCTCAGTTTACTGCTTTGTGAAATGGACACAGTAACAGTCCCCACTCTCCGGGGTAGTTGGCAGTATTTAACAGTACTTAATAAACCTATTAGCGCGGTGTAGACCGTGATTCAAGCTTAGCCTGGCCGGGGAACGGGAGGCGTGTGGACCGGGAGCAGCCCCCGGGGTCATCGCCCCGCCACCGCCGCCCGATTGCTTTAGCTCGGAAATTCCGGAGCTGCAGCGGCCAGAGAGGGAGGACGACCCTGCTCGGCCCTGGCACCCTCTCAGTCCGGAAATACAGCAGCATTTGTTCCGGAGGGGAAGGCGCGAGGTTTCCGGGAAAGCAGCACCGCCCCTTAGCCCCCAGGTGGCTAGCGCTATAAAGGACCGCGCGCCCCACTGCGTCCCACTCGACGCTGAGCTCCTCTGCTACTCAGAGCTGCAAACTTGGCCTCGCTATGGCTCCCAGCGGCCCCCAGCCCGCGCTGCCCACACTCGTGGTCCTGCTCGGGGCTCTGCTGCTAGGTGAGTCAGGGGTGGGGATTGCCGTCGGGCCAGCTCCGCAAAACTCCGGGAGGACCGGTTCCCAGGTCAGGTCATGCATACTTAGGTAGCTGTTTATGGGAAGGTGGGCTAGAGACAGCGATTGAAAGGCAACAGTCAGTGGGTTCGAATCCAGACCCTGCATCACCTCCACGTGTGGCCTCGGGCTATACATTGCAGCTTTGAAAAAGGGGGTTGGAGATGGAGGGGAGGGGCAGACCTCATTTTGTTGCCCAGGCCGGTCTTGAACTCCTGGGCTCTAGTGTGAGCCACCACCTTGCTTGGCTAGATTGGGTCTCTTAAACTTCAGTTTCTCAGCTGTAAAACGGGAAACGTCATAGCAGCCACCTGGCAGGGTATCTTGGCCCAGCACAGCACCTGGCGCCAGGACTCAATCATGATGGTTTGGGAACTTGGCTGTGTGTCAACCCAACAAGGCTTAAGGGACCCCCACCCACTTCAAGATGTATATTCTGTTCCTCATCCTCTCTGCCCCTGGGGAAGTCCAGGGCTGCTTCTACTCAGGGGAATTCCAGAGCTGACTTATCCGTGGCCCAAGGCTGAGAAGTGGGAGGTGCCAGCACACCCTCCCCCAGCTCCAGCCTAGCTAGGGCAGAGGGAAGGGGTCAGAGGATCTTTCACGGTGGTGTAAGTTTGGGGAACCAGGAAGGTGGGAGATTGACAGCTTGGTTAACAACTCAACAAAGCCTCAGATCCAGGCCAGCGTGGTGGTTCATGCCTGTAATCCTGACACTTTAGGAGGCCCAGACGGGTGAATCACTTAAGGTCAGGAGTTGGAGACCAGCCTGGCCAACATGGCAAAAGCCCGTCTCTACTAAAAATACAAAAATTAGCTGGCATGGCGGTGGACACCCGTGATCCCAGCTACTCGGGAAGCTGAGGCAGGAAAATCCCTTAAACCCAGGAGGCGGAGGTTGCAGTGAGCTGAGATGGTGCCACTGCACTCCAGCCTGGGAGACATAGAGAGATTTGGTCTCAAAAAACAAAGCGTTCTGATCCAGACTCAGACCCAGATCGCACTGCTTTCTAACTGAGTAACCATTTCCCTTTATGAAATGGGAATGGTCCCAGAATCTTCCTTGGAAAATATATGGAGTCAATGTTCTCACACCCCCATCCAAGATGGAACAAATCCGAGACAAGAATCTTTGAAGTGGGGCAGTGCTGGGCTCAGACATTCTTTCCCACCTTTGGAGGCAGCAGAATCTGAGGGACCTAATCCAAATAGGCCCGCCCTGCCGCCTGCCCTCCCTCCATCCCTCCATCCATCCATCCCTCCCTCCCTCCCTCCCTTCCTTCTTTCCTTCCTTCCTTCCTTTTTTTTGAGACAGAGTCTCACTCTGTCGCCTAGGCTGGAGTGCAGTGGCGCGGTCTGGGCTCACTGCAACCTCTACCTCTCAGGTTCAAGCGATTCTTCTGCCTCAGCCTCCCTGAGTAGCTGGGACTACAGGCGTGTGCCACCACGCCCGGCTAATCACTGTGTTAGCTAGGATGGTCTTGATCTCCTGACCTCATGATCTGCCCACCTCAGCCTCCCAAAGTGCTGGGATTACATGCATGAG